AAAAAAACTACTTTTTATTTTATTTGTAAAGGGTTAAATTTTAATTTTTTGTATTTTTTGCAAATGTTAAATTACAATCTTTTGAAGAATATATATCGGACAAATTACAGACTTTTTCTTTTTGCAAAAGGTTAAATTATAATTTTCCTCCTTGTCAAAAACAAAACAACCATTGAAAAACCTTCCCCGTGTTCTTCTACCAAACTTTTTGTTAGTCAAGGAAGATTCGTGGTTTCAGATTCCTTTATAAACAAATCTATACCATATCTAAATTGAGCGATGGAGGATAATCTTTACTTTCTCATTTTGCCTTTTATACACTGTCTCTTCCCACATAGGTGTGATTGATCGAGAGGTATGACTGTTGGACGAAACAATGTGTCTATTCCTTTACAGAGCATTCATAAAAATAAATAAAACTATTGTGATACTATAACAAATTTTGTATTATTTTTTTCTCCCAAAATGTCTACAAAGATCTTTTCTTTTATCAAATAATTCATACCTTTCCAAAAAGAATGGAAACTATAAGTTTTGTTCAGGAAATATTGAAACATGCCAAAACCAACATTTGCGAATACATAAATTAATTTTAGATGAAAAGGTAGAGTATATATTCAATGTTCCTATTTATATCTTTGGATCATTGTTTTCATGATTATAACTACTTTTGGATTTCTTGTGGATTTCTTATTTTATATTTAAATTATTCTACATATTACTGGCAAGTAACAAAAATTCAAGTTGTTATGTTAAGTTATAGAGAAATTTGGAATATTCTTCATAAACATAAATATTATTTAATTGAAATTTGAAATGTGAAACTGTGAAGGACAAATATACAAAATGTAAATGAAGAAATTGAAATTAATATTTATTTGTACGAATAAATTGAATAATCATTTACTCTTCAAATGGTGAGGTATAATTTGATCTAATATTGTGAGGTTGAATTATCTTTTGAAAACATAAAAAATGATAGATAATGACTTATATAAAATAATTTATATATTAAGTCTATGAATAAATCAAACAATACAAAAATCAAAGAAAGATATTTATAATATATAATCAAAGAAAGATATTTTTAAGTCTATAATCTATAATATATTAAAATGTTACAATATCGGAGAAACTTTTTTTATCATTATATCCCTATATCCATTTTCAAATTTATTAAACATGTCATTTTTTTTAAAGATGTTTTTTTAGAAGGAAACACAAGTAAGTACTCCTTTGAGTTATTTGAAAAAAAAGAGATATATATATATATATATACACTGGGTTCAGGGGAAGAGATTACATGTTGATGAAACTTTTTATTATTTTTGTTTTTAAGTCTATAATCTATAATTTATATCTATACTATATCTAAATGGGGCTATGGAGGAGAATCTTTGTCTTTCTATTTTGCCCCCAATTTTTTAATATATACTTATTTTGCCCTTTAAATTTCTACGAGAGACACGATTGTTCGAGTTAAAGTGTCTGTTGAGATAACAAATCCACAAGACCATTTGTTCTGATAATATTGAGAAATAATTGGAGATGCTTGAAGTGCTGATCTACAGTATTTGAGAATACCAGAATATCATCAATGTAGACTATTGTGAATTCTTGGTATTTGTTGAAGATATCGTTCATAATCTTCTGAAATTCGGATGAAGCATTCTTCAATCCGAATGGCATGACGTTCGAAACCAAGTGCTATTTATAGAAGAGAACCGATAATTGCACCAGGGTACAATTATTGATTTCTTACTATTGTCTTGACACTTGTCTCAACATAATTTGATACAACCTAAAGAGATAAAGTATGGCCGACAAGACAAGTCCTTGACTGGCATCTTATCTCTTTGGAATCTACTTTAAAAAAGTAAAGATAAGCGTGGCCAAACTGACAAAATAAAGAAAAGTTAGAAAATAAAAGCTGATATGACTGTTTTTGGACTGGATGCTTGCTTTAGAAATCTGTCGAAGTCACACCGCTTCTCCTGATTTAGCGAGGATTGCGGATTCTGTATATCAATCGTAAAGGCTTATCTGGTTTCCAATTAGGTCGTTCCATCCAGGGTCTTACTCTCGGCTTCCCACCTATACTGCCCAAGGAACACCATCGATTTTCGATCAGGGTTGCCTTATGAGATATGGAATCCTCTCAACTGAGTCAATCCTATACGCTACCTGCGTTACCTTGTGGTTGGTTACTCCACATCAGAAGCTTGTCATCTACTGCAACTAAATTTCTTCTGCAAGTCCTTCACAAAAACAGACTGAGATAGTGACGATAAGATCGGAATACAATGATCTTATCTAAAATTCAAAACGAAATTTAAACAAATTAATTTACATAATTTACAATAAGAAAATTAAATTAAACATTTGAAATATCTAGTCTCAGCTAGGCTGTGAATCTAGATATGGGTCGTTGATGTCGTATCCTTCGAAGGGATCGAAGTATTCTTCGTCGTCTACGGCATCATTGTTGATAGAGGCGGAAGAGTCAACGTCTGTCTGAACGTCGTCTGGATCAGAGATCTGAACCGCGACTGTGTTGAGTATTGAGTTGAAGTCGGCTTGGGATCCGGCCCCAGCTAGCGAGCTCATGACAGCATTCTTGGCCAGAAGGAAGCTCTCATCTTCTTGCCTTGTCATGTCTTGAAGATGAACGTTGGTTTTCAACCAATCCTTCATCTTGTCAGATTCTAGGTAGAAATAATCGAATTTTTCCCACCATTTGATGCGTAAAGCTTTGCTCAACGCTTTGAAGTTTCCACTGGGTCCTAGCTGGAAATTCCAGCAAAAGATCCATGGTATTTGAAAATACAAAGCAAATCTAAACGTCTTAGAGAGGGGAGACAAATAGATACTTTGTTGGAACAGGTGGTACGATCTCCGAACTTCCACCAGAAGAATTTCCTCGGACAGTCCAAAATATGTCCACCAAGTTTGAAACCAATTTGGAAAGTGCGATTTGTAAGCTTGCTTACAAAAAGTCACAAACCAAGAGTGGTTGTAACATTGCAACCAGAAAACAATGTACCACACTTTCATGTAGTCGAGGTAGTTGTATGTCTGAGGTTGAAAGGTTGCCGTCAGTTTCTTCCCTACAAACATACCCTGTTTCCAGGAGGAAGGGGTAAGGATGCGGAAGATCTTGAGTTTTGAGTAAATGGTCCTAGAAGGATCATTTCTGTCTGGAATATGAGTTATCTCTGCAGATTTTGAATCTACCAGAATAAACTCATAATAANAAAATTTGATTGGATATCAAATTTAAATCCTTTTCAAATTCATCCAAAATCTGAATTATATTCCAACTTTTAAATTACGTTGGATAAATTTCATGTAATTACTGGTCGAGCGCAAGTGCTATTTATAGAAGAGAACCAATAATTGCATTAGGGTACAATTATTGATTTCTTACTATTGTCTTGACACTTGTCTCAACATAATTTGATACAACCTAAAGAGATAAAGTATGGCCGACAAGACAAGTCCTTGACTGTCATCTTATCTCTTTGGAATCTACTTTAAAAAAGCAAAGATAAGTGTGGCCGACAGGAGGCATCTTATCTTTGAAAAAGTAGGAAAAGTAAAGCGGAAATAATTACAAACTGACAAAGTAAAGAAAAGTCAGAAAATAAAGGCTGATATGACTGTTTTTGGACTGGATGCTTGCTTTAGAAATCTGTCGAAGTCACCCGGCTTCTCCTGATTTAGAGAGGATTGCAGATTCTGTATATCAATCGTAAAGGCTTTTCTGGTTTCCAATTAGGCCGTTCCATCCAGGGTCTTACTCTCGGCTTCCCGCCTATACTGCCCAAGGAACACCATCGATTTTCGACCAGGGTTGCCTTATGAGATATGGAATCCTCTCAACTGAGTCAATCCTATACGCTACCTGCGTTGCCTTGTGGTTGGTTACTCCACATCAGAAGCTTGCCATCTACTGCAACTAAATTTCTTCTGCAAGTCCTTCACAAAAACAGATTGAGATAGTGACGATAAGATCATAATACAATGATCTTATCTAAAATTCAAAACGAAATTTAAACAAATTAATTTACATAATTTACAATAATTAAATTAAACATTTGAAATATCTAGTCTCAGCTAGGCTGTGAATCTAGATATGGATCGTTGATGTCGTATCCTTCGAAGGGATCGAAGTCTTCTTCGTCGTCTACGGCATCATTGTTGACAGAGGTGGAAGAGTCAACGTCTGTCTGAACGTCTCTAGATCAGATATCTGAACCACGACTGTGTTGAGTACTGAGTTGAAGTCGGCTTGGGATCCGACTCTAGCTAGCGAGCTCATGACAGCGTTCTTGGCTAGAAGGAAGCTCTCATCTTCTTGCCTTGTCATGTCTTGAAGATGAACGTTGGTTTTCAACCAATCATTCATCTTGTCAGATTCTAGGTAGGAATAATCGAATTTTTCCCACCATTTGATGCGTAAAGCTTTGCTCAACGCTTTGAAGTTTCCACTGGGTCCTAGCTGGAAATTCAAGCAAAAGATCCATGGTATTTGAAAATACAAAGCAAATCTAAACGTCTTAGAGAGGGGAGACGAATAGATACTTTGTTGGAACAGGTGGTACGATCTCTGAACTTCCACCGGAAAAATTTCCTCGGACAGTCCAAAATATGTCCACCAAGTTTGAAACCAATTTGGAAAGTGCGATTTGTAAGCTTGCTTACAAAAAGTCACAAACCAAGAGTGGTTGTAACCTTGCAACCAGAAAACAATGTACCACGCTTTCATGTAGTCGCGGTAGTTGTATGTCTGAGGTTGAAAGGTTGCCGTCAGTTTCTT